GATTTACCGAGTTGATAACCAGCGTCGTAGGACCGCTTAGCGAGATCTCGTTTGTTAGTTTGTTGTTGTTAGTTTGTTTGTTACTCAAACATATCCAGGGTCTGTTGAACTGGCTTCGTAGCACAGGGCACAGGTGGCTGGCAGCGCTAATGTCAAAGACACAGACATTGCATTATATTTGTATTTTACGAGGATGCAGTGACACACATATTTACATATTTACATGTACTATCTACAGCACCCGCCGCCCCTGACATCCCCCACTCCCCCCGTTGACAATTTACTAGCGGTACCGAAGTGGGCCGGTCGAGAGTCCCGGGATGATTTTTAGTCCCATTCCACCACTGGCTACATGACCGTATGATCGGCCATATTGACGCACCTAATTCCTAAACTTCTAACAGATACAACATAAACCGATCCTTCAGCCTCATATGAGCTCTCAGACACGTTCAACATTAAACTGTCATCGCTGTCTGAGCTTGCTGCTGTGTGCGCCATCGTGCGTTTGCATGCAGATGCTGGGATCCTGAACGGTGCAGCTGGAGCGCTGTGCCCGCAATGACGTCACACATCATTTGGCGGGACTTGAAGAATCCCCTAGCAGATCCAGGAAATGGTCAACATTGAAGGGCAGATTAATGGTTATCAAAGTACAAATATCCAAAATCAGTTCAGTAACGGTTTTCAAGGGGACAATATTTACTCAAATTGATGGGTTTGGATGATGGGGGAAACTCGTGTCACAGGCTCTTTAAAGTTTAACTTCTTCATATGTCTAATATTATAATTGACTTTTCATTCAGGAAGTATGACGCTGCGCTGTGTTATGGAAATTGTGGGATCAAGTGTATTAACATTGCAGACTGTAAACTGTTCCTCTGATTAGGTCACAGCATGGGAGAGATTCTTAAATGTATGTGTGGTCAACAGAGGGGGTAAGGTTTTTGCATACTGTGGCTGAGGGGTATCTGTATATCCCATTGTCTTGTATTGAGTGAAGGTTTTTGCATACTGTGGCTGAGGGGTATCTGTATATCCCATTGTCTTGTATTGAGTGAAGGTTTTGCATACTGTGTCAGAGGGAGTGTCAGCTGGCTTCCCAGAATGTTGTTGTAATGTAAATCTGCTTTGATGTCCTCCTATAAAGAGAGACTGTTTCACTCAGAAAGGTACGTGCTCTTTTGGAGGAGACGTCATACTTGCAAGTATAAAGATCCTTATTGCTTTTATTACGAATATTGTGTTGCTGTACGTTTGTTACCTTACTGATTATTCTCTCTAGACCACAGCTGTTTAGAAAGCTGCTACGACAGCTGTCAGTATGCTTCTCCATGTTTGTGATTGGTCGAATGCTCCAAATACCACCCCTTTCATGTGAACGCGCACCTAACTAGATAGGACACGGCTGGCTTGAGCGATCCACTTGATAACCCGCGTCGTAGTACCGTTTAGCGAGAGCGCGTATGTTTTGGATTAGGCCAACCGGCTAACTCAAACATATCCAGGTTAGGTTGAACCAGCTTCGTAGTACAGGCCCCTGGACTCACATTCAGGTTCAGGTCCGGACTCAAGTCCACAGGTTCAGGTTCAGGTCCGGACTTATAAGTCTGGACCTGAACCCATGGCTTGTGTCATGTTGTGTGAGTAACTAAAGTGAACTTATTGTGAGCTAATTATCAATTGGAAATTAACTCATAATCAACTCAAATTCAAACTCATCAGGTTTATTGTGCTCCCTTCCAACTTGTGTCTACATTTCTCTACAAAGTACAAATGTAAAAAAAAAACTTTTTGCCACTTAGTCTACAAATGACTTATGACAGCAACTACAGTGAACTACTACAAAGTTCAAACGTTTATTTCATTTACCAAACTAAAGTAACCAAACAGTCCTAAATCCCTAAAACGTTGCTGAAAGGTAGAGTGTAGAGTAGACCAGTGGTTCCCAAACTTTTTGTGCCCAAGGCACACCAAAGGACAAGTAAAAATCTCAAGGCACACCTATTGTGCAAAATAGCCCTTATAACACGTGTTATCACTCATATCATGTAAAATATCTGTAAATGTGCATAATTATTTACTAATGCCAAATAAAATGTGACAAAGACAACTATATAACACATGAAATATTTATTAACGAAATATTTCAGAAATTAATTTGAAACTTTATCAAATTAAATTAGGCTTCATCAAAGCAGCAACACACTCATTTAAACCAAACAGGTCACAAAATAAAAAATGAGGCAAAGGAAACTCAGCACAGAGAACTGTCAATGCAAGGAAGCTGCATTGTCCATGGTCCGGAACTACAAATTATAAATGTAACATTTCAGCAATCAGCATTGAAACATGTGCTATTGTAAATATTTTGCCGACTTACAAATTAGTGAGATACATGTGCCTGTCGGGCGCGCAGAATTTTTTTATCCTTGGTGGCACTGAGGAGAGGGCCACTCGCAAGTCCTGTTCAACAGAGAGCCGTGACCTCCGGTTGTTCTTCATGTAAACCAGAGTAGAGAACGCCAACTCCAGAGATGGGGTCGTTACTAAAAAAATGTAATATATTACATATTACTTTTTTTAAAAAAAAGTAATATATTAAACTACTTCGTTACTATCTACATAAAGTAACTCGTTACTTTACTCGCCGAGCACGTACGAACTGCGCGTGAGTGGCAATAACTTTACTTACCAGCAGGCGGCGGTAGTGTGTATTTGTCATTCAAAACAGGCAACAACCGGAAGACAGAGAAGAAGAACAGACTGCGTGATATAAACAAACAACAAATAGCTTGCGGTAGCTTCACCTTAGCATGTGTTCTTTGCAGGTGCTTGTTGAGGTTTGACCACGTAGTGTTTCCAGCAGTGGATAACAGCTTCTGGCCTGGACACAGTTTGCACCTCACCGCTACATTCCTGTCTATTCTTCGGACGGACTCAAAGTAATGGGCATAACTCCACCCCTCGAAAGTTATCGCTGACTCAGCCATGTTTATGCAGCACTGCACGTGGAGATGTGGACTCGCAAATCGCGCAGATTACGTACATATAAACCTACAAAGTACTGATATAGTAAATTAAAACATAATTATTTTTGTGTAGTTGTATATTGCAATAATAACGTCTGGTTGTCACAAAATCCCACGGCACACCTGGACTTGCCTCACGGCACACCAGTGTGCCGCGGCACACCGTTTGGGAACCACTGGAGTAGACTATACGCATTACACTGTTCCACACCTACTATACAGTATAGGCTACACTGTAGTGACTGTACAGTCAGTGTACTGTACACTAGTGCTGGGGGGAAACGATTATTTTGAAAACGATTAATCGGGCGATTATTTGATCGATTAGTCGACTAATCGAACGATTATTTTTCTGTTGTTCATTTCATAAAAAACGTAATGTAAAAAAAACGTAATGTAAAAAATTGTATTTTCACGATACTGTGTCTCAGGGGATCTTAATATTTAAGAACCTATTAATGTGTTATACCAGATTAACGGAAATAATCTCAGCTAATTGACGATACAAACCATGTTTACCAAAACAAAACACAAGTCTCATAAGAAGCATCTAAATGACCCCTGAGCGAAAAATGCTAACGGACATAACTCAAGAAAAAAGTACCCTTATTACTTATCGTAGCTGCACATACAATATATCCGATTAAAGCTGAGACTCCACAGATTATGTAGGTATATAGTATCATCACTGAGTGATCCGGACTCGCGACAGGGGAAGCAAATACAGTAATCACAACACGTACCTTCACAGAGCTTCTAGGGAGATCGTCTTACCACCGTAGCTGTCAATCTGATCAAAAGACGTGTTCAATGGCATTAAAATGAGAAAAAACGCGGCTGAATCGGTTAATCCATAGGTTTTTAACGTCTATGTATAAAAAAATGATTGAATTTATAATCCATAATTCCATTTTATGTAAAAAATCGGAGAGCAAATGCTAGCTGCTAATGGTAGCCACCACAGCTAGCTGCTGCTTCTGCTAGGCTATGCAGCAGTCTCAGTGAGATATAAATATATAAATATCTTTGCGTTTTGGACTAACTTTAAAATATTCCCATGCTTTTGAAGACCTAGGGCGAGATGTTTTCGTTTGGGGGCTTCGTGCGCAATCCTGTGAGGAGGAGGTGGTAGCCGTTTCAGTCTCCATTGTGTTTGAAGTGCGATTGCGAACTGCTTGTTGCTTTGGGTGACCCACGTGTGTGTAGCGACGCGTCGACGCGGAAATATGTCGTCGACGATATTTTGAAGTCGACATCGTCGACGCGTCGCTACAGCACTACTGTACACCATGTATTTTCTACAACTCTACATGTGTACATTATACAGTACATACTACATACATAGTGATGTACATACATACTGTTAGAAATTAAAATCAATGTTGATATGGCGTAATTTTGAATTAAATACACTATTTAATTTAAATCAGTTTTATTCTGAAAACCGGAAGTTCACACTATTAATTTAATAGTTTTATTCTGAAAATTATTCACTTCCGGTTAGCATTAGCATGTGGCGAAATGCTATGTTTTCAAACCGTGAATCGAAGGTGAAATGACATGTGATGTGATTGATTGATTGATTGAAAAGTTTATTAACAGCTTGTATATTGGGTACAGTACAGTACAGCTCAAAACATACAATTGTTAAGGGGATGCAGACCAGAGAAAGACTTTCGTCTTGTTTACATCAGGGTCCCCCATTTCCAATTCATCATGTTGTACACTGAGCACACTGGGATAAGCACTCATTTATTGACGCTGAATAACGTTTATCAGGGAATATTTAAATAACCACAGGCACCAGAATATACGTAAGTGCTAGTTTTTTTGCGAGTCCAAGTACCGGTTCCCGACGTTCCGGTTTTAACCGGACTTCAACCGAAACTTTTTACAAGTCCGGCGTACCGGTACGCAGCACTAGTTGTGATTGTGTTTATTTAATATTGTGCCCTTGCTGTGTCTCAGGCTCTGGGAGCTGAAGAGGCCACGCTGTTCTCTGAGAGTGAAGCTTTAACAGAAAGTGATTCTGAGCTCACGTCCGACGGATTTCCCTCTGATAACAACCGCTGCACGGACCCCCGAATCCACTCTGAAGGTGAGAGGAATCATATTCACATTCTGCTCCCTGATCTATCTGCGAATTGAAAGTACTTATTGCCTGAGATCGCATGCTGTGGTTTTATTAAATGTGCCAAGTGCTAGGACTGTCTTAGGGAAGAAAGCTTTTAGATGTGCAGCTCCACTAACATGGAACAGTCTGCAAAAAGAATGGAAAATTACCAAGCTAGTACCACTACATGTTTTTAAAGCTCGGTTGGATGCTACAAAATCAGATGCTGTTGGTACCTGTACATGTGGTTAGATATGTAAATTGTAATCCCTGTACATTTTGCTGTATGATGTCCTTTTGTTGTTCTGTTGTTTATGTTTTTATGTCTTCTTGTGGAACCTACTGCTGCAGGTCTCCCTTGAAAAAGAGATCATTGATCTCAATGGGATTTTACCTGGATAAATAAAGGTTTTGAATTGAATTGAATATAATCCAGATAATAAATACGCATCTAATTTGATAACTGTACCACGCTGGTATAGTAATTATTCATTTGATGTATATGTTATGCAAAAGTGTTTGAGATCTCAAAATGCTAAAAGAATTTCTGAAATTCTCAGAATTATATATTTTTCCTGGAAATCGCGGAAATTCCATTTTTTCCCCCCATAAAATCTCAGAATTCTCACTTTTTTCATAAAATCTCAGAATTATGTTTTTTCTGAAAATCTCCAAATTATAATTTTTGGGGAAATTCTCACTTTTTCCCAGAAAATTCTTACTTTGGATAATCTCGTTTTTTTTCTCGAGAAATCTCATTTTTGGGGGAAAATCGCAAAATTCTCTTTTTTGTGGGAAAATCTCAACATTCTGTTTTCCCCTAAGAATTCTTAATTTTTTTTTCAGAAAAACTTGAAATTCTCACTTTTCCCCGAAATCTCAAAATTATGCTTTTTCCTGAAAATCGCTGAATTTTTACTTTCCATGAAAAATCTCAAAATTAAAACATTATTTTTTTCGAGTCTGAAAACAAATCCCAAACTGCCCACATGCTCTCTTTCTCTAGCAATGAATGGTCTCAAAGTAAAGCATTGTGAAGTCCGCCTCACAAAGATAAACGGTACGTAGCATTTCTGGTTCAGGATTTATATTTCTGAAGATTTCAACGTTCAAACTTACTTTATATTTTCTTCAACAGACGATGAGAATGGAGACGATTGCAAAGAGGTAATACACACATTTCAGAAAAAAGCTAGAATTAAAAAAAATACTTATTTATTATTTGAACATGAAAACTGTCAGCTTCTAGTACATTGCTTTCCCGTACATTTACCACTTTCATCTCAGAATTCTCTAGTTTGTTGCTCGTAAATGTTGTACCGTTTATTTACCACTTTATTTTTCGTGTACATTTATTTCACTAGATTTATCACATTAATCTCAGAACATTTTCTATTTCTTCTATAATTTTTTTTAAACTACACTACTCAGCTTTACACTCAACTAGTAAACAAAGACCAGAACTAATCAGAACAAGTATTGTTTCTCCTGCATCATATTTGTTGTTTGAATTCTCATCTACTGACATACTTTTCCCTTTACTAACCTCATTATTTTCATCGATACGGCCATCATAACCACTTGCATGATAAGGTTACGTTTTCCCTTTATGACGGTGTGTTGTGATATTTGAGTGTGTAATGGGAGTGTGTTGTCTCTCAGATGACCACTAGGGGAAGTTTTGGCTGGGAGAGCAGCTTGCGGCAGAAACCTCAGGCCCGCGCAGTGTTTCAGGCGGGTGTTAGCACCTGGTCCGCCCCCCAACCTATTGATCAGGACAGCAGAAAGGGTCTGGAGTCCCAGGAAGAGAGGGTAGGTGTACTCAAGTATACTACCAGAATACCCTTGGGCCATGACTGATGTATCTGACCTCTGAAACACTACAAAATAACTAGCTAAAAGACAAATACTAGTGAGCTCCTTGCACAACAACACATATCTGATAGCGTAATAGAGCCCTGCAGCTATGATGTTTTTCTGTTAGCATCTCCCTTGAGCCCATGACATTTCTCCATGTGATTTGATTTATTGAAGACAATAATCTCTGTGGCAAAATGTATGACACAGACATGTTTTGTTTAGCAGGATAATAAAGATAACCCGGACATTTAAAAATCTATTTAGATAATTTAAATTAAAACTACAGGGAAATAGATTCTACTGTTTAGTTTTTTTATGAAATATCAGAACTTTTTACTTAAAAACTAAAAATTCTGACTTTTTTCAGAAAATCCAAAAATGCTCACTTTATCGAAAATTCTCACCTTATTTCTAATAAATCTCAGAATTCTCACTTTTTCCAGAAAATCTCAGAATTCTCACTTTTTTGGGAAAATTCTCACTTTTCTGAAAATCCTATTTTTTTTCAGAAAATCGCAAAACTCTATAAAAAAAACTAAAAAAAACCTCTCCAGATGGCAGAATACTGAATTATTCGTCAAATCTATACAAGCAGTATATCTGTAGTCTAATGACCTTGTCATCAGTATGCCAACCCCAACATTTAAACATCTATTTAGATAATTTAACTTAAAACCACAGGAAATAGATTCTACTGTTTAGTTTTTATTGGATTTTTCCAGCTTGATTAGTTGATCAGAGTGAATTGATACATCTTAAGAAAAAAGGGCTCTCTTGTTTTTAACTAATTCTCTCCTCCATGACACCTGAAATGTAATATCAAACACAATGATTTGTGGTGCATTTTCTAACTAACTAACATCAGTTATGGCTTTTATTTGTAAGTACGCAGATCGTCCTCACCTAAACTACTTTTTAAAATGTTTGACTGAAATGTTTGACACTTATTTTAATGTTTTAAAGTCTCAGGCAGAAGAATCATCTCCGATCAGTAAACCCACTCCAAGAAATCGCCGGAAACACGTCTACACGGTAAAGAATAAAACAGAATCATGTCTTTTAAATTACATTTAGAAAGAAAACTGTTAGAAAAATATCCCTTGCTTGAGCTTCAATATCAGGATCCATGTATTTGTGATCCTCTCATTCAGTATTTTCCCAACACTAACTGTTTATGATAATCCACGTTTTCCCTGCAGGACGGGAAGGGTTTCCTGCGCGGGGAGTTGATCTGGGGGAAAGTGAAGGGTTTCTCCTGGTGGCCCGGGATGGTGATCCCCTGGAAAAGTAAATCCTCTCCTCCCGGGATGAGGAGGGTCGAGTGGTTCGGAGACGGGATGTTCTCAGAGGTAAGAAGAACGCTTTTCTTGGTTTTTAAACCTATGAACGGAGATGGCAAAAGTACACACATCCTTTACTGAAGTAGAAGTACAGATACTCGTGTTTAAAAATACTGAGAGTAGTAGGGCTGTACCCGAATATTCGTTCGTTGGAGTACTATTCGCCGGGTTTCAATTTCGTTATTCGGATTCTATTATATAGCTTGTGCCTCTTCGGGGGGTGCTAACACTTAACCATAAACGCTATCGTTTACTTTCTCAGTCTTTATATGTAGACTTTTTCTCCATTAATCTCTGTTATGTTGTTTCCATAGCAACAACAACTTCCTGTCAACAGCGCTACCTCTCCTTCAAAATAAAAGCATGTCCATAAATAGGAAGCCAAGCCAAATGACACTTAAGACATATACAACTGCAACGAAAGTAACAAACACAATGCGATATCCTTTTCAATTTCAAAGAACACAAATTGGGTTAAATTAACAAATAACTATAAAACAACAATACTGTAGAATAACAAAAAGAATGGGACAGCCCTTGAAAGTAGAAGTACTGACTAAACTTCTTTACTCAAGTCAAAGTAAAGAGGCTTTAAAATGTACTTCAGTAAAACGTACCCATAACTAGCAGCTGTTTTAAGGAGTACCTGACCTCCCTTTATATTAATAGAACAATAATGTCATTGTTAGCTAATGAATGTTTCACCATTCAATACTCACTACATTACAGTGTCTTATATTCATCATGTGACCGTCTGTGTTTCTTGTAGTTATTTAATTGGCTCTTTTTACTGCACTGTTAGTGTACAGTTATATTATTATGTTGCTGTGTTAATTGTGTCTTTGTAACTCTGGGACAACAACTTCCTTTGGGATAAACAAAGTCTTATCTTATCTATGTCTCACAGTGTTACATTTGATTGATTGAACACTAAATGTGAAGAAAACTCCACATGTGTTGAATTGCATTTTCACATCATCTTTGCTTCCTGTTGCAGAGCTACACGGAGGGTCTCATGGTCTTCAGTGCCTTCAATAAGTGCTTCTGCAAAAACTCCTACGCCAGCCTGCCCGTCTACAAGGAAGCCATTTACCAGATCATCGAGGTAAGACCCCACATTATATCTGTCGCTATAATCTTTACAGTAGGTCGAATGATCTGTTTCTCTCACATCCTGTTACTCAAGATTGATTTTGATATCTGTACATTTTCTCTTTTTACTATTGCCGTTTTTTTAAGGCGAGACACGGCAGGCAAAAACATCGTTTTTCATGCACTGGTACATTTCGAGATTTTGTGCTATTTTGATTCCATAACATGTTTTCTTTCAGGCTTTTGGAAGTAAAACGTACAAAATACACATTTAGGTGTTTATTTGACTATAGTTTGTCTATTTGCGTCACCAAAAGTTAGCAAAATGTCCGCTTCAGTAGCACTTACACACACCAAACCTTCCAGTTATATTCCTATCAATATTCTGAAGGTTTTTACAGAAGGATTTGTTCATATATAATTCATAGCCTGAATTATACAACATTGTATACCTAAAAACATGGCGAAGATTGATATTTTAGGGCTGTTGACAGTATTTTCTGATTTATGGAGTGATAACAAGAGATATAAAAAAATCCCTTCTGTAAAAACTTTAGCTTCTAATATGACTACAAAATGAAACAAGAATGTTGAACCTGGCTTTATCCAATGTTCATATTTGTGTTCCTGAAGTATTAACATATGCGCAAATTTAATGAGTATGGCTAATTTGCATATTCAAACATACTATTTCAGAAAACTTGTAATACAAAAAACAATTGCCTTAATGTAATTAATTAACTGGAGAAATGTCTTGCTGATATCTTTAAGTTAAAAAACTTACCCTATTCACCTGAGGTGTCTCGCCTTAACCAGTTAAACCCCACGGCCCGCGGGCGGCGGCAAAACGCAACATCTTGCAAGAAACAGCGTCCGAGGGCTTGCAATGAACTAAATCAGATATTTGTAACCAATTGTCATTACTACTTTGTACGCTTCCCCTTGGTAACTCTTGTCTGTTACTTAACCTGTAACCAATACCTTCTGCTTTTTCTAAGACTATTGGCCAAAACCAAGTCGTATTTATCTTTTAACCTCTTAAGCCCCAAGCCTGTTTTTCAGGTTTCAGGCTCGAAAATGACATGCCCAAAACAAAGGACTATAACTTAACTTCTAAAAGGGTTATATGAATAATTTCTTTTATCAAAGCAAGGTCACATCTGTGAGTTGGATGTTGAAGTGTCAGAATCAATAAAGATGTTTCAGTGTCAGAGTAAATCCAGATGGAACATAGTCAAAAAGTGTACATTTTTGTCTCCGCCCAAATAAAACCCATTACTTATAGTGAAAACCACCCTTGAATGATGGGTTAGTAGCCTAAAAGCTTTAGGAATCCAAAGTATAACATAATAAGTACCCTGTATCAAGATTGAGGCAAAACAAGTGAGAATTGACCTTTTTAGAGAGATTTAGCAAAAAAAAAAGTCCAAGAGGACTAAGCTTTGGGCACATTTGGTTCCATCAGTGCCATTTAACCTTTTTCAGGTACCAGACTGTAAAAATCATTGTACAACATTTAATTATCACTATAGGTATTCATTCCATAAAAAAAAAAATTATTGTTAAAAAAAAAAAAAAATTAAGTGGGTGTGTGTGTGGAGTGTGTGTGTGTGGTGTGTGTGGGAAGTTCCCTCTTTGCATGAGATGCATGTTACTTGCACAATAAAAATGAGGAAACTTAGGAAACATTTGACTCCAACTGGAGCAGATTTATTAAAAAAAATTAGCAACACACTATACAACAAGCATTTTTTGGGTAAAAAAAAAACTTTATACAAACCCTGAATGTTACAGTATTACTCCAGTAAGTCATGCCATGCCCTGTAAAAGTTATTTTTGGTAGTGAAGCACAGAGGGACCTGACACTTCCTGCAGTACACAGGTGTCTTCACTCCTCAGTTGCCAGCATCAGAGCACCTCCTGACCTTGGTGGCATCTTCCCCATAATACTCGGGCATCCAGAAGCCATATCCTCATCGCCTTCCTCACTGTGAAAACAAATGTGGAAAAAACAAATAGATTAATTCTCTGGCTTGTACTTTCAAAAATGTAACTCAAATCAGAAATAATTTCTCTACAACAACAGCAGAACATCAATTTTGAGTGTGTGAAATAACATTATATCACTCAAAATGTATACCGTGTAAATTATGTGAGACGGGGTTCATATAATCTGTTCAATATTTCATATTAATATTCTGTCTGTCATATATATGTGTATGTATATATATATATATATGTATGTATATATATGTATGTATGTATATATATATGCATGTATATATATATATATATATGTGTATGTATATATGTGTATGTATGTATATATATGTATGTATATGTATATATGTATGTATATATATGTATGTATGTATATATATATGTGTATATATATATATGTGTATGTATATATATATGTGTGTATGTATATATATGTGTGTATGTATATATATATGTGTGTATGTATGTATATATATATATGTGTATATATATATATACGTGTGTATGTATATATATATATATATATATGCGTGTGTGTATATATATAGTTGTAAGTCACTTTGGATAAAAGCGTCAGCTAAATGAAATGTAATACTATGTGTTAAATTCAACATGTATATGTCTTGTTTATTTCAACAACAAGAACAAGAAACGGCATCCATCTTCTTTGTTGTTGTTGAGTGTGTGAAAGAACATTATATCACAAGATGGATGCCGTCGTGTTATTGTCACGTGTGTGAAATTACTAGATGAATACACTCTTACACCAAATAAATAACAAAAAGATAAAAACAGATGAATACTCTTACACCAAATAAATAAGTAATAGATACAAACAGAGAGAATCCATACCTTTCCGGTGACGGAGGTTCATAATCAGAGTCATTACTGTCCCCTTCGTGCGTGATGAGATATCTATCTTCCGACGGAGAGTCCTGAAATACGATGTCCAATGCCTCCTCGACGGACAAAAAAGTCTTCTTTCTGGCTGCCATTGCTACAATGAAGACAAAGAAAACAAATCCTGCTGTTTCGCTGATCGATCTGCCGTTCTCTGCTCTCCTGTCGCCGCGGGACATGCTATGCTACGCTATAGCCTAGTATGCAGCGTACAAAGACTGGGTCGTGCGTAAATCAGCTGATACTGCCTGTATTTATACTTACGCAAACTCCTATCTCTGGAACCCATTGGTCGATTTGGGTGATTGACACCTTTTTAGAATCGTTAGAGCCAATCGAATCGAGTAGCAGTTTCAAATTACGTAAATACGTCATGCCTGCGGAGGGGGAGCTATGCGTAAAAAGCAGCTCCCGCAGCTGAATCCACGGACTGTTAATCGTTGGACCTACTCTTCTGACGTGAATGAAAGGATTGATTCTCAGTAATCATTTTAAAGTGACAAGAGACATTGGATTAACCCTGAGCAGCGTTTTTATTCCTTTGAACACAACTTTTGATCACAAAACAGCCAAGGTAAGACCTAATTATTGTCAGGGATTTGAAAACTGATATTGTTTACTTGCTATGTTGTGGCTGCCAGCTCGGTTAATGTTGGGCCTGTAGTGATGGGGTGTACACCCATGGAATCTGGAATCTCAGCTTTCAGAAAATGTGTTGTTTGTGCGGAAAGGATGAATTATAAATGATCGTTTTTGTGAGTTATGAGCAGACATAGCAATTGCCCGTTTTTGACATGGGGTCATTTAGAGGCTTCTTGTGAGACTTATTTTTCTAAAAAAAAATTTTTTTTCGTATCGTCAGTAAGCCAAGTTTCCTCCGGTCAGATGGGTATGGAATATTAATAGTTTCATGAATGACACTTCAGATATAGCACTGTTGCTACATATATAGCATTTTCGGACCCGAGCTCGGGTCCGTGGGGCTTAAGAGGTTAAAGACCTGGAAAGGGTTATTAACGCCTTTGTTACCTCAAGACTGGACTATTGTGACGCTCTGTATGTGGGTATGGACCAGGCATCAATTAAACGCCTCCAGCTAGTTCAGAACGCAGCTGCACGTCTCCTGACTGGCCACAAAAAACGTGACCACATCACCCGAATTCTGGCCTCACTACACTGGCTTCCAGTTCGGTTCAGAATTTATTTTAAAATCCTTTTATTTGTTTTTAAAGCACTAAATGGGTTGGCTCCGGCCTATATAGCTGAACTCCTCCAGCGCTACACCCCAGGCAGAGCTTTAAGGTCTGTTGACCAGCTGCTGTTCGGAGTGCCTAAGACCAGGCTCAAACCCCGAGGGCACCGAGCCTTCGCAGCAGCTGGCCCCAGGCTCTGGAACACTCTGCCCCTCCATGTGAGGTCGGCCCAGACCCTAGGGGCTTTTAAAACCACACTGAAGACTCACTTCTTCTCTCTGGCCTTCTAGTCAGAGTGGGGTCACGACTCCTGACTGTTCCATGTGTTGCTTTATCTGTTGTGATTTATTGTCTTTTATTGTGATGTAATGTGTTTTTATGTGTTTCAATTACATGTACAGCACTTTGGCTCGACCAAAATCGTTTTTAAATGTGCTCTACAAATAAGATTTGATTTGATTTGATTTCTGACAATTCTCCTGTTTGAATCGACCTACCTGTGTTGTGTTGACTCAGATAATGTTGTGTTGACTCAGATAATGTTGTGTTGACTCAGATAATGTTGTGTTGACTCAGATAATGTTGTGTTGACTCAGATAATGTTTGTGTTGTGCAGCTGGCTGGTGAGCGCTGTGGGAAGTCTTTCTCTGGAAAAGGAGGAACCAAAGAGAAGGAGCTGAAGCTGATGCTGGACTGGGCCTCTGAGGGTTTCCTGCCCTCCGGCCCCAAGGGATTCCTGCCTCCTGGTATGAGCGCTGTTATCAACATTTAGGGATGCAGGGATGATGTATTTTTGTAGGCCGACCCGGAATTAAACTGCTCATGGGTTCTTTGGACAAAAAGCAACGGGATTTCTCCAGAGGATTTTGGAAAATAGCTCGAATTAAGATCTGTGGAAAATGAACCTGTTTGATAAATGCACGTTCTGTTCAGCCGGATAATCTCCACATGTCTACCCTACTTTTATAATGTTCGAATCATAAATCTAATGTCCAGAAGCAAAATGCTAACGTGATGCTACAAAGGAACTACAGCCGAGTCTAGCAGCACGACTTCAACGTCACGCCAACTTAAGATCCATATTCAAACATACAGATTCTAATTGGTTCAAGTTGAAGCGTTTGTTGGAACACTTTGCAGTAGGCAGGGACTTGCTTTCAAGTAGAACAGGGCAAACTAACTTAGAGGAGTGTTTACGTGTTCGGCGTAATGACGTACAACGACCTCCACGACTTCTGTAGTCCTATTCAGCCACTTGGTAACAACCATCGTTTCTCAGACACGTCAACTCTTCAGAAATCACCAGTGGGGTCACTGCTGATGATTTAATGTACTAGAACAAAACGTGATCTGTCTCTTCAATGTGTCTCAACCACAGACCTTAGTTCAGATAGTTTCCTAAACCCTATGGAGAGATCCCATTGGCTCTGAGACAAGGGAACAGGAAGTGGTGAAACGCTAACTCACCTCCGGGTTTTAGGACTCGTCACTGCACCACTCTATTAGGAGTTTAAAAGTCCCTTTTTGATGTCTTTTATACCGCTCCTTTGTGTGTTAATCAAATACATGCATTCAGTTGAATATTCACACACTGACCCATAAATGGCAGGAATAAGGCAGCACTACGTGTTGCACAGAGGAGAGAGGGAAGTGTGCTCACAACACAAGTCAAATGAAAGGGAAGTGCAGAGCAGGAAGTACAGTGGGGCAAAAAAGTATTTAGTCAGCCACCAATTGTGCAAGTTCTCCCTCTTAAAAAGATGAGAGAGGCCTGTAATTGTCATCCTAGGTACACTTCAACTATGAGAGACAAAATGAGAAGGAAAAAAAATCCAGAAAATCCCATTGTCTGATTTTTAAAGAATTGATTTGCAAATTATTGTGGAAAATAAGTATTTGGTCAATAACAAAAGTTCATCTCAATACTTTGTTATATACTCTTTGTTGGCAATGACAGAGGTCAAACGTTTTCTGTAAGTCTTCACAAGGTTTTCACACACTGTTGCTGGTATTTTGGCCCATTCCTCCATGCAGATCTCCTCTAGAGCAGTGATGTTTTGGGGCTGTCGCTGGGCAACACGGACTTTCAACTCCCTCCAAAGATTTTCTATGGGGTTGAGATCTGGAGACTGGCTAGGCCACTCCAGGACCTTGAAATGCTTCTTACGAAGCCACTCCTTCGTTGCCCGGGCGGTGTGTTTGGGATCATTGTCATGCTGAAAGACCCAGCCACGTTTCATCTTCAATGCCCTTGCTGATGGAAGGAGGTTGTCACTCAAAATCTCACGATACATGGCCCCATTCATTCTTTCCTTTACACGGATCAGTCGTCCTGGTCCCTTTGCAGAAAAACAGCCCCAAAGCATGATGTTTCCACCCCCATGTTTCACAGTAGGTGTTCTTTGGATGCAACTCAGCATTCTTTCTCCTCCAAACACGTCTAGTTGAGTTTTTACCAAAAATTATATTTTGGTTTCATCTGACCATATGACATTCTCCCAATCCTCTTCTGGATCATCTAAATGCTCTCTAGCAAACTTCAGACGGGCCTGGACATGTACTGGCTTAAGCAGGGGGACACGTCTGGCACTGCAGGATTTGAGTCCCTGGCGGCGTAGTGTGTTACTGATGGTAGCCTTTGTTACTTTGGTCCCAGCTCTCTGCAGGTCATTGACTCGGTCCCCCCCGTGTGGTTCTGGGATTTTTGCTCACCGTTCTTGTGATCATTTTGACCCCACGGGGTGAGATCTTGCGTGGAGCCCCAGATCGAGGGAGATTATCAGTGGTCTTGTATGTCTTACATTTTCTAATAATTGCTCCCACAGTTGATTTCTTCACACCAAGCTGCTTACCTATTGCAGATGCAGTCTTCCCAGCCTGGTGCAGGTCTACAATTTTGTTTCTGGTGTCCTTTGACAGCTCTTTGGTCTTGGCCATAGTGGAGTTTGGAGTGTGACTGTTTGAGGTTGTGGACAGGTGTCTTTTATACTGATAACGAGTTCAAACAGGTGCCATTAATACAGTTAACAAGTGGAAGACAGAGCAGGCTCTTAAAGAAGAAGTTACAGGTCTGTGAGAGCCATAAATCTTGTTTGTTTGTAGGTGACCAAATACTTATTTTACCGAGGAATTTACCAATTAATTCATTACAAATCCTACAATGTGATTTCCTGGATTCTTTCCCCCCATTCTGTCTCTCATAGTTGAAGTGTACCTAGGATGAAAATTACAGGCCTCTCATCTTTTTAAGTGGGAGAATTTGCACAATTGGTGGCTGACTAAATACTTTTTTGCCCCACTGTATTAAAGGTCTCATACAAAATGAATTCTATACATCAATATGTGTCCCCGGTGTGTAAGAAGACCGTCTCTCGTTCCCTCCGTACCCACATCTCTAAAAACGGAGCTGATCCAGTAAATAGACTTTTTGCACTACTTTTTATTTTGCATTTTCTATTTTTCTATTTTATTACATATGTTGCATCGTTGGAGGAGCTCAGGTCAGAATAATTTCATTTCCATTTCTACACTATAGCTTTGTGCATATGACAATAAAACCTTTGAATCTTGAATTTGCGTCCGATATGACGTAATATCTGAAATGTGGACCCACGGCCCTTTCAGAAACTTTGCTATCAGAAACAATGCTCGACTGTTTTGGACGTAATATGGTCTGTGTTTACATTAGCATCGCTAACACTCAGAGCTAACCTGTACTGGAGAGCATGTGTGTGAAGAAGCAGGAAATAAAGAAAGGAAATCACCTTGAGGTAAACCTGAGAGAGAATCCCTGATGTGGTTTGGAACATGATGGCGTTTAATCACGGCAGAATTTAACTGAGTATCTGCCGGTAGAATTCTCCTGTGAGCTTTCGTCTCTTTTTTTATTGAATTTTTAGAGCGAAGGACCCAAAATCAGCACTTCAGTAAAATGTCTGATCTGTTTGGTATTTTGAGCAAAACACACCATAGACATGTTTTTAATATATTTGTATATATCTGAGACCCATAATATATGCCTACAAATAGTATAATGATCCGTAATGTTTTGTCTTTGCCAGTGGCGGCGCCAGAGTATTTGTATTGGGTAATCTATGGTAGGGCTAACCCATACAGTGGTGGGGCTCAAGTCAGTATTTGCAATGTAATTACATACACGCTCGACGCTCCCCTTGACAGTGAAACGCCACGCGTGAGGTTTAGATTATTTCCCTAATTTTTAATACACATTCTGTTACTCTCTTGAGAAGAACAAGAAATACATCTATTACTACACGAGATATTTAAAACAATGAATGCCATTTTTGTTACTTTGTTCTGAAAGCTGAACCATTAATTACTTTACATTGTGGATAAGGGTGGATAGCCCCCATTGTTCTGTGTGTCAAAATGAAAGACAGCCCACACACACCTATCAATTATCAAACCGTGGGGTCTTATTTCATTACGTGTTGATTTCTATTCTATTTCTTTTCAAAACCGTTTCTGTATTTCCAGACAAGTGGCTACTGAAATCAATCTTACTAACTGCTGTCTGTGCAATTTACTCCGCGAGTTGGCGGACTTTATTTTGCTTACCTTGACATCATTGTTCATGGTGGGGCTAAGCCATTTCTTGGTATGGCTGTAGCCTACCCCGGCCATACCCTGGCGCCGCCACTGGTCTTTGCTCTGTTAGTCGTTACATATCCAGATTTTTCTTAATTTTCTCCTTATTTCGTCTCTTCCTGCTTCTTCAAGATGCCGCCGGCGCACTTCAGGAAACTTCTGACTCGGCCCTGTCTGACTACCAGCCTCCACCAAAAAGGAAATATGTTTTTAAAAACAAGGCAATCACACCCGCCATCATCTATAACCGAGGTACAAAATATACCACATTTAGTCCAAAAAACACGTCTTCAAGAGTAAATGTTTCTCACTAGATTTAGTCACAGAGTATAATCTTTTTTATTCCTTATGTGTGATTTGTTTTTCTACTTTTCTACAGAATTGATAAGAGAAAAGGTCAAAGAGGAGGGGAGAACAATTGAAGGTAAGTTGTGTGTGAGTGTGTGTGGAAGACGTGTGATTTTATATCAACGAACAATCCTTCATTTTAACTTAATGGTTTGTTATTTCAGATTTCTGCTTGTCTTGTGGATCCACTGAGCTTCAGGTGCAGCACCCGTTGTTCGAAGGTGGTCTTTGTCTCAGATGCAAGGTAATTTAATGACAAATAAGTCTCTTTTTTACGTGTTATTTGGTGTGCTTCCCTCCATCCCATACCACTTGTTTTTAACATTTATTAGAACAAGTTCCATGACAGTGAGTCTCACACAACGTGGTACAGATACAATATCATACTGTTATATATATACCAGGGTTTCCGTTAGCCGGTAAAATGCCTGCTAACGGAAACTCTGCTACACAATTATTATTATTGAAACATGACCGGTAAGTTTTTAAGTAATTAGGGGTGCACCGAATGGGAAATTATTGGCCGAAACCGATACCGAAAATAGGAAACAGTTGGCCGAATGCCGAAAGGCCGAAAATGATTAATAGAAATATATATATATATATATATATATATATATATATAATGTATACATTTGTTACCAATGTTGTTCTGATTATGGAAATAGACATGATTATGGCAAAACTTAACTTAAATAATAATCACTATTATGGGTCCATAAAACATTTATTCAGCACTTTTGAATGCATACAGTACATTTATATATGTCATGTATTATTGCTAAAAAACATTATATCGCAGTCTTAGTGTCGCCAACTCGTTTCTAATATGCAAAGACAACAAATGCGTCTATGATGTATTTTCGATCAGACGAGATCTCTCTCCCCCGTCTGTGTGCGAGGGGGCGGGGCAGTTTACACACACGCAGCTGCTACATGCAGCGGAGCACACTGCGGAGATGGCGGAGAGAACGCGCTCCGAGGTGTGGTTAAACTTTACCCGTCTCGATGTGGAGAATACTTGTTACCATAAGTGCAATAAGAGTTTAGCATGTAAGCACGAGCAATTTCTCTAAACATTTAGCAAAAGTGCACCGTATGCAGACGGAGGAATGTACCGGGTTCGACCGTCTTTCTAGCAGCTCTGTAGCCCCATCCACGAGTAAAGTTTCCACGTCAGGTGTTATGTATGCTAGCAGCAACACACGGAGTTAACTACATGATACAAACATGGGTTAATGATTAGAGGAAACTGAGTTATTTAGTTTGTTAAAGTTTCAGCTATTCTGTTTACAGTCTGTCATCAGATTATTTAATACGATTTGTTAAAGGCTCAGGGCAATCTCGATGACAAAGGTCAATGTCCCCCCCCCCCTGTGAGCCAGCCGCGAGCATGGTCGCCGCGTCTTTATTACGTCATCACAACAACACGTTAGGTTACCAACGTAAGCCTGTTCTGACATTCGGTGATATTTTTTCGGTGCTAAAACCCTTTCGGCCGAAAGCCGAAAGGGCCTTTTTAACCATTTTCGGCCGATAATTTTCGGTGGCCGAATATTCGGTGCATCCCTAATATATAATATTATCAAAAAGTACAATATATAATAGTAATTATCCCCTTATCGGAGAACACCCAGCTAGTAACCTAGCAACCAAGCTTCAGCTAGCGAGAGCACGCTCGTGAACCGTTATGCCGGTGTTATGAATGCCCGCTGAGAGATGCATGCACCTCGCGGGAGCGCGCACGGCGTACATCTTGTATTTTCCAATTCCCAATGTCTGCCCTCCATCTGAAACTCAGCTGCTCCTAACACGTCTCTTTCTGCAGGAGAACTTCACAGAGACGCTGTTCCGTTACGATGAAGACGGATACCAGTCGTACTGCACCGTGTGCTGCGCCGGACAGGAAGTCATTCTGTGTGGAAACACCAGCTGCTGCAGGTAAACGTCACCGGTCATTCGATTGATTTGACCTAAAGTGCATTTTCTTTTACGCTCTGAACTCTGCTCCACAGCTTCTCTTGGACTTAAAATCACCCTTTACATGTATATATTCAGTTTCATATTTAATAATCCATCCCTCACATACTTATGCATATATAATAACTTGCTTTATTGTTAATTTGTAAATTCAACTACTTTCTTGTTTATTTCTTGTCTTTAATTTTGTATTCTACAATGCCATGTTTTTTATGCTGCTGCAACACTAACATTACTTCTTATCTTATTATGTCCTCCAGGTGTTTCTGTAAGGGCTGTCTGGAGATCCTGGTGGGTCCGGGGACCTTCGACACTCTGAAGGATATGGATCCGTGGATCTGCTACATGTGTAAACCCTCTCTGTGTGCCGGGAACCTCAAACTGAGGCCGGACTGGAGCGTCAAGGTCCAGGACTTCTTCGCCAACAACAGCGCCATGGCCTTCGTACGTGTTACAAATATCTCCCTGGTCCCCGGCTTGAGCTTCAGTCTCAGGATCCTTGTGTTTCTGATCCTCTCAAGGATGGAAGTAGTCAAAACAAAAAAAGAGAATTTGTTGGTATTTTCCTCAAAGATCTGTCGTTTCCCCAAAATCTGACTTTTTCCTCAAAAATATGATATTTTCTCAAAAATCTCAAATGTAAGTTTTTCTAAAAATTCTGATTTTTTTTCTCTAAAAATTCTGACTTTTTCTCAAATATCTAAAAAATATGATATTTTTTTCTCAAAATTCAAAAAAATCTGACTTTTTCTCCAAAAATATGGCTTTTTCTCAAAATTCTCACTTTCTGAATACTTAACATTTTTAATAATCCCTGCTCCCCGGCTTGAGCTTCAACCTCAGGATCCATGTATCTGTGATCCTCTCCAGAATGGAAGGAGTCATCACATACAGAGACTAGTTCCTGAACAGTGTCCTTCACATGCTGATATCCAAGAGAGGGAGTCACACAGTCACAAGATGGAGGAATATAAAGCAGTATTCAATGTTTACTTCAGATTAGCTCCACGTCAGAAATGAGCATGCTTGATGTCTCTCTCCATAGAGGCTGAATCATCATGTTAATCACATAGCTATCATATGCCTCAAACAGTCCTGATGCTCTTCTAGGTAATCACACATCCTGTCATGAACACAGCTACAGTTAATACAACCTAATGTGAAATAGAGTGTTCTTAACACTTGTATCCCCTCATTAAATAATGAAACAAACCTCTGGCAGGTACACAACAACTGTCTCTAGCTCAAAAATGCTGAAACTTGAAACTGAAACTTGTGTATTTTCTATTTAATCCCAGGAGCCTCACAGAGTTTACCCCTCCATCTCCGCTGATCAGCGCCGACCAATCAGAGTGCTCTCGCTTTTTGACGGCATCGCAACAGGTTGGTTATCTTTTTTTGTCTCTACTTACTATTGAAGAGGAACCGGGAGCTCCAGTGTGAATACAAATGAGACTTTTATTTGAGTTGCAGTGCATATAATGTGTGTGTTCTTCCCCACAGGCTACCTGGTGCTCAAAGACCTGGGCTTTAAGCTCGATCGCTACATCGCCTCAGAGATCTGCGAGGACTCCATCGCTGTGGGGCTGATAAAGCACGAGGGAAAGATCGAATACGTCAACGATGTTCGAACCATCACCAGGAAACACGTGCGTTCACACTGACCTTATCTAGAGTTGTTTTTATTGCTTGTTCTTAACAAAAAAGTTTTCTAATAGATGTTTTTTTTATTCTGGGGGAAAATAGGTTTTGTCTTTTTAAATATGGAGATTTACTGCTTTATATTTTAATAAAAGTGACTATCTTTGGACATTGAAACACATACTTGGACTTTCAGAAACTGAATGTGACATTTTTCAATATGTTCTTACGGTTTACAGATAAAGGTAATGTTTAGAAAGTAAACAGGGCTTCTCCTCTGAATGCTGATAGCTTAAGAAACAAGTGGGAATCAAAACAACACAGAAACATGAAGATGTGTGTGTGTGTGTGTGTTGCAGCTGGCGGAGTGGGGTCCGTTTGACCTTCTGATCGGAGGCAGTCCATGCAACGACCTCTCCATGGTCAACCCTCTGAGAAAAGGATTATTCGGTATGTTATTCCAGACATTTTGGTGTCAGTGCGTGTGGAACAGGAAACAAGTGGTTGCTGATGAATTAATGGAGATTTTTTTTTTATACATCTGGCCTTTTAGGGTAATAAAATAAATAATTAGAGCCGGGTAAGATTATCATTCCCAGATAAACATTAAAGAAAATAGACAAACTCCTGAGATTGAAGTGGTAGATGTAAGACAATAAACAACGTACAACATTTTACAATAAAAGTATTTGATTATTCTCCAAGATTATGAATTCCCTAATGAATGAAAACAAGGTAATTCTTAGGAGAAAATGTTAATTGGTTTGTTGTTTTCTTCTCAATAGTTTCAATTCAAGGAAACATTTATTAAAATCTGCAGAGTTCTGGGCCTAAACCAGGAGTATTTCCCCTTTGCCAAATATATATTATTGTACATTTTTACTGTTCTCTCAGAGAATTTCTTAGTTTTGTCTTTGTTTTATTTATTTTCTGAAATAATTTTTAATCTGAATATAACCCCTCCTCTTCACACGTTATCTCTCCCTGGCGTGATAAACTATTCGGGGGAAGATACTATCTCGATATCGAGGAAGATCTCTCTCTCCTATATCTGTCTGTATCTCTATACCTTCCATATTCCTCTTTGTCTCTCTCTCTCTCCTCTTCCTCTCCCTCTTCTCTCTCTCTCTCTCTCTCTCTCTCCCTCCCTCTCTGTCTCTCTCTCTCTCTCTCCCCCTCCCCCTCTCTCTCTCTCTCCCTCCTCTCTCTGTGGTGCAGAGGGAACTGGACGTCTGTTCTTTGAGTTTTACCGCCTGCTGACGCTCATGAAGCCGAAGGAGGGCGACGACCGCCCGTTCTTCTGGCTGTTTGAGAACGTGGTGTTCATGAGTGGCCACGATAAATCAGACATCTGCAGATTCCTGGAGGTGATTATATTATTTATTAGTGTTAAGATAATCTCACTGGTCACTGGCTTGAGCTTCAACCTCAGGATCCATGTGTCTGTGATCCTCTCCAGAATGGAAGTAGTCATCACATACAGAGCATCAACTAGTTCCTGAACAGTGTCCTTCACATGCTGATATCCAAGAGAGGGAGTTACACAGTCACAAGATGGAGGAATAGAAAGCAGTATTCAATGTTTACTTCAGATTAGCTCCACGTCAGAAATGAGCATGCTTGATGTCTCTCTCCATAGAGGCTGAATCATCATGTTAATCACATAGCTATCATATGCCTCAAACAGTGCTGATGCTCTTCTAGGTAATCACACATCCTGTCATGTTCACAGCTACAGTTGGGATACCTTTGTTATCACGTTACTCTCATGTTGGAAGAGGACATTCAGTAGTTTCACAACATTTATTTACGGGTGTGCGGCAACTAAACTCCCAATAGTTGCTTATAGGCTTAACTCTGCTCTTAGCTTTGACCAATAAGAGTCCGTACTCAAGTTGTTGTTCTTGATATTTATTAAAGAAAATAAAACAAACGATGACTACAACTGGACCAAAGGGTCAACAGAATACAATATCGTATGGATTAAATTACCTTCGTCACATCCATGTGATACGTGCCAGAAGTGACCAATTACGACTATAGGATGTAAACAAATAATGATAATAAAATAAAATATTTTTGGCTCCTACATGTTGTAAGAATCCTCTCAATTGAATGGCAAAGCTTTATCTCTTATTATTATCTTCATTTCTTCAGTGTAATCCGATCCTCATCGATGCAGTGAAGGTCAGTCCTGCTCACCGAGCGCGATACTTTTGGGGAAACCTCCCCGGCATGAACAGGTAAATAATTCAAATCAATATTCCCTTTCTTCAGTATATGCTCCTTAAAAACAGTTCTTTAGTTTAAATGCCTGTGTGGTTTTCTCTTTAGACCTCTGGCTACGGCTATGGATGATAAAGTCGGCCTGCAGGACTGCTTGGAACGCGGACGCATGGCAATGGTAGGAGCTTAACGTTTCCTGTGTGAGAAAGATGACATGATAAAGTGCTCAATAGATACATTTGGTAACATTTTTGCATTTAAAATGTCTTAAAGGGGCCATATTCTAGGACTCTTTAAAGTCTCTACTTTAAAGAGTCCTTTCCTGCTGATGTTCAGGTGTATATCAGTATGTAGTGTCTCTACTTTAAAGAGTCCTCTCCTGTTGATGTTCAGGTGTATATCAGTATGTAGTGTCTCTACTTTAAAGAGTCCTCTCCTGCTGATGTTCAGGTGTATATCAGTATGTAGTGTCTCTACTTTAAAGAGTCCTCTCCTGTTGATGTTCAGGTGTATATCAGTATGTAGTGTCTCTACTTTAAAGAGTCCTCTCCTGCTGATGTTCAGGTGTATATCAGTATGTAGTGTCTCTACTTTAAAGAGTCCTCTCCTGCTGATGTTCAGGTGTTTATCAGTATGTAGTGTCTCTACTTTAAAGAGTCCTCTCCTGCTGATGTTCAGGTGTATATCAGTATGTAGTGTCTCTACTTTAAAGAGTCCTTTCCTGCTGATGTTCAGGTGTATATCAGTATGTAGTGTCTCTACTTTAAAGAGTCCTCTCTTGCTGATGTTCAGGTGTATATCAGTATGTAGTGTCTCTACTTTAAAGAGTCCTCTCCTGCTGATGTTCAGGTGTATATCAGTATGTAGTGTCTCTACTTTAAAGAGTCCTCTCCTGCTGATGTTCAGGTGTATATCAGTATGTAGTGTCTCTACTTTAAAGTGTCCTCTCCTCAGAGGAGAGCAGGAGACCCGTATTTGTAGAATGTAATATTGTGCATTTAAATGTCCTTCCATGGCATTCAAGTCGTCTCAGTTTAACTCGGTGCTTCCTGGTTCTGATTGTCGTTTCTTCCTGCAGTTTGAAAAGGTCCGCACCATCACAACAAAGTCCAACTCGATCCGGCAGGGGAAGATGGGCCCGCTGCCGGTCACCATGAACGGAAAAGAGGATTACCTGTGGTGCACGGAGATGGAACAGTAAGATATTCTGAATATGTTTTTATCCTGGGTCTAGTCCTTATATCCAGAGGGGGGGAAGTAGTGGAGTACAAATACTTTGTTGCCGTACTTAAGTACATGTTTCTGGTATCAGTACTTTACTCCACTTCTTATTTTTATGACCACTTTTTACTTTGACTTCTTACATTTTGAACCCAAATACCTGAACTTTCTACTTCTTACATGTTGAACCCAAATACCTGTACTTTCTATTTCTTACATGTTGAACACAAATACCTGTACTTTCTACTTCTTACATGTTGAACCCAAATACCTGTACTTTCTACTTCTTACATGTTGAACTGAAGTACCTGTACTTTCTACTTCTTACATGTTGAACACAAATACCTGTACTTTCTACTTCTTACATGTTGAACACAAATACCTGTACTTTCTACTTCTTACATGTTGAACACAAATACCTGTACTTTCTACTTCTTACATGTTGAACACAAATACCTGTACTTTCTACTTCTCACATGTTGAACACAAATACCTGTACTTTCTACTTCTTACATGTTGAACACAAATACCTGTACTTTCTACTTCTTACATGTTGAACTCAAATACCTGTACTTTCTACTTCTTACATGTTGAACACAAATACCTGTACTTTCTACTTCTCACATGTTGAACACAAATACCTGTACTTTCTACTTCTTACATGTTGATCACAAATACCTGTACTTTCTACTTCTCACATTTTCCAAACAGGCTGGTTCCTTTAGTTTGAATCTGTGTTTGAAACACAAAAATACATTTGGTACAGCCCTAATTTCTACGACTCCCTGTTTAATTCTCATTGCCGATCACGTTCTTGACCAATCCAACTTTACGCCACGACTTCCTGACCTGGGGAAGTGGTAAAAAGCTAAGACTCATTCCTGCACCACTCACACACTTTTTTCCTGAACGCAAAGCAATAAGTAACGACAGTATATTATCTTCTACTGTTAACTATTTAACTACTAAATAATCTTGACCAATCCGACTTTACGCCACGACTTCCTGACCAAGTGGTAAAAAGCTGACTCATTTAGGACTCATTCCTGCACCACAGGTTCAAATATCCTAATTGTGGGAATTGAAAAGAAAAGTGGGTTTAAAGATCAAAGACGGGTTCGGGTAACAGTAAAACAGGAACATGTGTTGTCTGGAGATGCAACATGAGGTAGGGCTGTCAAACGATTAACATTTTTAATCAGATTAATCACAGCTTAAAACTTAATTAATCATGATTAATCACCATTCGAACTATGTCCAAAATATGCCATTTCTTTATGTATATTTTTGTGGGAATGGAAAGATAAATGAAAGAAGGCGGATATATCCATTTAACATACAGTATCTATGTTTATTATAACATTGTGTGCAATTTACTCCGCGCGAGTTGGCAGACTTTATTTTGCTTACTTTAACATCATTTTTCATGGTGGGGCTAAGCCATTTCTTGGTATGGGTGTAGCCTACCCCAGCCATACCCTGGCGCTGCCACTGGTGGCACGTATGGGGCGATTAACACAATTAATTCAAAAAATGCATTACCGCCGTTAACGCGATAATTTTGACAGCACTAATAAAAAGGTTAGAAAAGTGTCAGAAGAACTATAATTCCCCGGGAAGACTACGGGTCAGCGTTTCCGCCAGGCGTCTTGCCGTCATTTGACGCCCTCATTCAGCTCGGAACGCCCTGAACTCGAGCCGAGGGCGTCGAATAATAATTATTAATAAAGAATAATAATTCGAGAGAAGATCGAGAGTTTTTATTGCTTGAAATGACGAAAAGGAAAAAGTGCAAGGACGTCCCTCTGTTGGAGGGGCAAAGGAGTCTGGTGGGATTCTGTTCGCCGCCAGCAAAGCTCGTTCCTGTGACGGAAAGTGTACTGCCGGCGAGCCTCGGCGGGGGGGTGCTAGTGGAGCCGTGAACGTCGGATCCTCGCAGCGGCGAAACTGAGGCTCCGTGGTAAACTGTGGTAACATGAAGAGCCGTTTAGGAGCCGAAAGATTCCCATCACCAACACGTAAAGAGACAGTATCTATAAGGGACGGCTCAATTCAAAATTCAAGTCGCGTGACACGACGTGACGTCACGCCCTCTCAGCCCTGGTCTGGCGGAAACACTGCTTGGGGTCGAGGAGTGTGAGAACTTGGTTTGGGATGTTGTCAAACATCTGGAACAAACTCCCAGAAACTTGCAGGTCCGCTTCTACTCTTACTACTTTTAGATCCAGGCTGAAGACTTTTCTTTTTGTCGCTGCTTTTAATTGAACTATTCACGTCTCACACTGCTCTGTAACTTTTATTCATGTACCTGTTATTCATGTTTTATTATCTTTGCTTTTTAATGTTTCTAATGTGCTCTTAATGTCTTTCATTGTTTTAAAGCACTTTGAATTGCCTTGTGTTGAAAAGTGCTGTATAAATAAACTGGCCTTGCCTCTTACTCAGCCTGTATTTCGATCTTCTTTCCTCCTCCAGGATCTTCGGCTTCCCCAAACACTACACCGATGTGAACAACATGGGTCGAGCTCAGAGGCAGCGAGTGCTCGGGAGATCCTGGAGCGTCCCGGTGATCCGACACCTGTTCGCCCCGCTGAAGGACTACTTTGAATGTGAATAACAACTGTGAACAACAACTGTGAACAACAACTGTGAACAGCTGATCCTGCCTTACTAACACCACGGTATTCAATCTGTCCTGATTCACTGTTCGACTTTTAGACGTGTTTTTCTCATCGTTTTTATCCGCTCTCACCAGCAGGCACCGACACTTCCTCCTCTCGGTGCGTTGATCAAACTATAATCTACTCCTGAAGGACGAGGCGAGATTAACGGGGGGTTAACTATTTTTCTTTTGGGCTAATCTCAGGTTATCTGTTGTCACAAAGATGGTTAAAAAACATTTTCCTGACCGATCAACTCAGGTGTAAAAAGTATTAATTCCTACAGGAAACACAAGCAGTCAAGACATTTGTTTGCCTACCATTATAATAAACAATCAGGATTAAATGAGTCAGAGCTTTACTTCTATCCATTATTGTTGGTTCATCATTTGAAAAAAGCCTTAGTAATACTTATTAATAGCCTTCATTTCCATATTTGGACATCATTTCAGGGTCTATGCAGGAGTCCTGAAGTCAAATGTAAGACCTTTTTTAAGACCCTTTCCACACATTTTAAGACCTCATCGTCACTTTGAGTTCTAACCGGTTACCTTGGCGACACACTTTACCTCACATTGACTATATACAGCATTGATTGTCCTTCCTCCTTATCTTCCAACCATTTGGACGCAGACTTGCATTTCCCCATAACGATGCTGTTTAACAACCGGTGTAAACGGACCTTTGCGCGCTATCAAGCAGTGAGCGTGCGATGTCCTGTTCAGATGACGTCAGATCCAACGGGATGCCATCAATAAACTACACAGAATCACACTACACACCTACGCAATGATTACATTCAGGCAGACTGTAGAATACAACCTCTTTGGACAATTCATATACTTATTGAAAACAAGCTACAAAATGTAAAAATGCCGTTTAATACTTTTTAGAACTTTTTAATAGCCTTCGTTTTCAACTTGTAATGCTTTTTAAGACCCCGCGGACTTTATGGCCTTTGCCATATCCATATTTGGACATTATCCATAATATTTCTACAAGGGCTGGACCAAATATTCTAAGGTTTCACCAAATTAGGAACAAAATATAAATCAGATTATGTACGTTTCTGCAGCCCTGTTATCATAGTAGGAACTTTAATTCTTCATTCATAGCTGGATATGTGGATTATAAATTAACATTTAAATGTGCTTAATGTGTCTGTGCAGATACAGATAAGACACTAATATCATTTCAATCAGGACAGACGGTTCTGATGAAAGAATACATATTTGTTGCCAGGAATACACAAATGAATGTAATGGAGTTTTGGCGATTAGGCCCCTCATTCAGGAGGGGAGAACCGATCTGATGAAACCCCCCGGGGTCTAGACCCTGGTGGTGGTGTATGGATAGTTGGGTTCGGTCTGAAGGGGAGGGGCTTAACTTGACCCTGGATTCAGAGGGACAGGACGTGAAAAGGGGGAGAGGAGAGTTGCATCGAGTCACCTGAAATGACAGCTGTCAGAGGGGAGAGCAGAGTTAAAAAGGGTTAGCGGAGCGCTGTGATAGGCTTGTGAGAATAGAGCGAAGTGATTGGTTAAGCTCGATCACTTATTGAGAGGAGAGACAGTAGTAACATAGAAATAGGAAATTAATGAGTAAAGACGGACTTCCTTGTTGAACTTGCGCTGAGGTTCATTTGTTGACATTTATAAAAAAAAACATTTTCGTTAAATAACATTTTTTTAAAAGCTCGTAATGTTAAAGTAGGAACTTGTGTAACCATTCATAGCTGGATATTTGGATTATAAATTAACATTTAAATGCTGCCGATCACGTTATATACATATAATATATATTTAGTGATTATCTGTTATTCAGCATCATTTTTAATCCCGTTGATCTCGCTCTGTGCTTCAGGCTCTACCTCAACATCCATCAGTCAGTATTTCTGTATTTTTACCGTAATATTTTACCAGGTTTCGATCCAAACATGTTCATTGTCAGCTGATTTTTGTATACGTTTTATGCAAATGACATTCATCTCTCTGTGGTTCTTTACAGAATCACTCACTGGTTGGTGCTAAACTCTTATTATCCTCCATTATTCTATTACAATGTCTGCTTTTAATACCAAAAATATGTTCTGTCTAATCATGGAGAACAAACCAAGGCGTGTTAAAGAGCTTTTTTATAAAAGTGACTATTAAAGACCAGCTCGGTTCCACCTCAGGAACAAACCATTTCTACTGGAAGATACCAACTAATACAGTCATGTGTCTCTTTTTGTTTTTTTGAAGCCATTTGGCACGATTGATTTTGTTTTAGATAAAGAGGGTGAAACGTTAAAGAAAAAAGGAAATAAAAATAATGAATAAAATGCTAAAATCTCATAAAAAAATATTATATTAGTTTAATTTTTAGAAGTAGAGAAACACCAGCAGCTACTGTAATAAAAGATAATTGAAATAACAATCAACGCATTTAACTTGACCTCTTACGTTCAGTTTTCAGTCATTTTTAGCGTTAAATTAACCAACAATGTGTAAAACTACAAAAGATATGGCTCCAATATATCTATGCTCATTGGACATTTGTTATTAAAGTAGAATCCCAAAATACTTTTTGCAGCTCTGATACAAACAAAGGAGGAGCTTCTTAAGGGCCGTGGTGATTGTTCGAAGCCTTATTCGTACTGAGAATTACAATTGAATGTTGATTTAAATGCTAAAAAAGACTAATTGGATCCCCTGAATGCCTTACATTCAAAATGTAGGATTTTGATATGATGACAGTCCTTTATAGAAGCTTGGAATGTGAAATCCAAAGCCTTAATCTTCGTTTAATCCCATAGTAACGTTTATTTAGCAAACAAACCCACTGATATGGTCTTTAAATCTCAGTGAGAAATACAACATGTGTGTTTTAACTAACTAAAAGTCTTATTTTAGCCTTATAATGAACTCTTAAATCATCAACAGTGCTGCTAATCTGTGCCTGATTTAGGGTTTTAATGTCACTTGTGTTTTTGTCGTTAAACATGAAGATATTTGAGCTGCCTTCAGTGTGAATCTGGGATTTCCCCTGTAGTGTTTTCAACATTTTAACTGGAGTCAAATCATATTTCTGAGTCTCTTTTTACCTCATTCTTTTGGGTGTTTTAATTCCTGATGGCGCTAAGCTAACGGCGCTAAGCTAACGGCGCTAAGCTAGCGGCGCTAAGCTAAAGGTGCTAAGCTAACGGTGCTAAGCTAACGGTGCTAAGCTAACGGCGCTAACCTTGCATGTACAGTTTGTTTTTTAATGGGCCGCAGCTCAAAATGGATTTCTTGTAGTCTGTTGTTGTTTTTCTGTGTGTTGATGTTTGTTTTTTATGAAATGACAGTGATATCAGTAAATATTAGTGTGATGTAAACAAATTGATGATTAAAAAGTGCAAGAGGGATTTGCATGGGATCTGTTTCCTTTTCAGGACTTTATTGTTTTTACTGTTTTCTGTAATTAAACTCATACATGCAGGATGGAGTTCCTCCAGATGTCTTTTCTTATTTCTCTTTATCATATTGTTCATGGAGTTAATTTATGTAACAAGTGCAATGTCATGATTCCACCACAAGAGGGCGCCGTTGTGCTGCAGTATATCATTGTGTCATCTTCCGGTAGATCGTGTGGATCCGGGGTGTTTCTCAATGTCGAGGAAGGCTGCTCCAGAGCCACTATTTCAAGCATACTAAGTCATCGAGTGCCGCCGAAGGACTGTTCCAATGTCCAGCATACTTGGAATTCTACCGAGCCCGGCGTACTTCGTAGCGAGAAATGTCGAGGCTGCACATGTGTAGACTCCGCGGTCTTAAAATCCCCACAATGCTTTGCGCACGGACCAATTTCAAAATCTTTGACGGAAATTGCGCTCTATTTAAGGCGGGGCCTCACATATGACGCACACCTACACACCTGTTAGCCTGTTCCACCATTCTTCGTTTTTTCCGAGGCTAGGAAGGATTCTTGCCTCGCTTCTGAAGCAAGTGACTCGGAAGACATGTGCCAATCAAGCGTTGTCGACATTGATAAACACCCCGAGTCACACCAAGCCCCCAGGAAGTGCGACGGACTCTGATGAAAATATTCGTAGTGTCCAAACGGCGGTACTACAATTTCCGTATCAGTCCGTGACGTCACCCGGCCCAGAAAGACTTTTCCCCATTGACTAACATTGGAGAGACGTCCAATACTAAGGTATATAAGATACTTTTAAATAAACTACCCAGTATGAACTATTTTATAGCCATTATTATAATCATTCGGTCCTTAAAGTTGTAAAATGCACTAAAAGCCGAATCTAGATTTATTTTCTGTCTCCATTCATTCTACTGAGCCGAGAGTGGGAGCTCCGGGGGCGGGGCTTAAGGGACGCATGCTCTGTGAGCGCACATTACGGGTTCTTCTGCCCTGACAACTAGGCATGATGGGTAATTTGTGACGTTTCGCTCTGTCAAAAGTGCCTTCATGCACCAATGAGCAGCTCTCATAGGAAAGAACGAGGCCCCGCCTCCGACGCTGTATCCAGTTCTTATTATACATCCATGGGTCACACCTGCATGTGTTTAAGATGGAGGCATGATTGAAGGAGAACGCATTTGTTTGAAGGGTCATTTGGTCTCTGAATAGTCATCTTGTGTTATTTTCTGTGCCTTTGTCAGTTTATTTGCTTTATTTTCTCTTCAATGTAGAAATATTATATAAGGTTGCTTGAGACAGAAACACTCGTGTAAAATACAAATGGAAAGTAGAAGCTCAATTATTATTCAGTAAATAATTATTCTGAGGTGACACCTGATCTCTATTTACAATATTTACATGTCATTGAGTCGGACAAGTTCACGCTTCATAACAAAAATACTGATTTCAAAGTCACTCGTAAACTGTTTACGTCTCCCAGGGTTTGAGCCTCCTCTCCATCTGAGAGGCAGTGGGACTCTTGTTCGTTGGTTTTATTTCCAGTTTGGCGGCTCCGGGCACTTCCTGTCCCGCCTGAACGAATTGCATCACCTCGACAAAAGAGAGCTGCTTCTCCTCCGTCTCTCCAGATGCTCCTGTGGATCTTTCTCTTGGTTCGGCAGATGTTTCTGTAGATGTTCCTGTGGATGTGTCTCTACGTTCTCTAGATGTTCCTGTAGGTTCTCCAGATGTTCCTGTAGTAGATGTCCCTGTAGGTTCTCCAGATGTTCCTGTAGTAGATGTCCCTGTAGGTTCTCTAGATGTTTCTCCTGATGTTCCTCCTCTCTGCTCCTCCCTGTTCTCAGAGTCCTGGTGTTTCCTCCACTCTCTGTATCTCGTCCGGTCGATGGGCTCCACACAACTGCAGACAAGCATCACATTTAGTCAGTTACTGCACTCTGTGTGTGTGTGTGTGTGTGTGTGTGTGTGTGTGTGTGTGTGTGTGGGGGGGGGGGGGGGTCTTTTTTCTCTATAGTTATGTCCTTAAATGTTGCATTACCTCGCCTCTTATTTGTTATATTTTTATATATTGTTAAGCACCAAACACCAAGGTAGATTCCTTACAAGTGAAGACATCTGAATGTATAAAGTAACTGAAGCTGTCAGAAACATGCAGTAGAGTAATTAAGACAGTAATATGTGTACTTATTGGCAGTACTTTAGTAAATGCAGGTATTTCCTCTCAGGTGCAGAAGAGCTTCTCCTCTGCAGTTTTCATTGTTATTGTAGTTTTCTTCTCCATAGTTAAGTTCTTAAATGTTGCATTACTTTGCCTCTTATATTTTATATTTGTATATGTTATGCTCCAAACACCAACGTAGATGAATGATTTAAATACATTTTTAGCCAATAGATTCCTTGCAAGTAGAAAGTATTTTTCTGCATAATTAGTACTAAATAAATGAATAGTACTTGCAGGTGTTTCCTCCCAGGTGTTTCCTACCTGTTGTAGAAGAAGAGTTTCAGCTGCAGCAGTTTCTCCTCTCTGCAGGTTTTATTTAAATCCTTCAGCCCCTCCTGAAACCTCTGATCAGACTCAAAGTCAAACGAGTGAAACCTCCGGAAAACCGGCTCCATTTAATCTGTGAATAACTTCAATGTATGTGATAATACTTCATCAGAATCCGGTGTCTGTGTGCAGCTGCCTGGCTCTGTTGTTATCCCGCTCGTGTTAAAGCAGGAAAATCAGCGGAGATAAAAGATTTTTGCAGCGCCCCCTGTAGGCCGGGAGTGTAATTACACCCTGTATTTTAATAATAATTAAAAAAAAATATATTTCTTAATCGTGGAATACATTTAAAAACACACAAATATGTTCTTTTTTAGTTTCAGGACTCATAATGAAGTTTGCATGTTAAAAAACTGAATTAAAACCGTTTGTCACCCATTGTTGCACATCCATTTTTCTTATTCTTTAAATACAAGTAGTATTTCTCAGAGGTTGTGCAATTTAAGTTATTCTTTAATAGTATAATTATTGGTTTTCAGTTTACAAATTGCACTAAATTAACCAGGGAAACCAGTTATATAAAAGAAAGCAAACATTTCCCCCTTTCTGCTCTCCTTTTTACCCATTTTTAATTAAAAACATCTATTGTATATAATTGAGTATACATAAATAATAACAATATAAATAATGTTTTTTTCAGATCAATGTGCAAGATCATAATGCTAAAAATCTAAACTAATTATATTGACTATGTTGGAATTAAATGTAGGCATTTTCTTCTAATGCCACGACTTTATAATCCACTCCTTTAATCAGAAATACTTTTACATTTCATTTCATTTAGAGGACGCTTGTATCCAAATCAACTTACTATAAAGTACTATACATACTAACGTTTTGATATGTTCGCCCCTCCCCCTATTTAATTAAAGAAGTAACAAAGAACATTGAAATAACTGTGTGCGTGCGTGTGTTCCTCTGTGTGTGTGTGTTTCTCTGCCTGTCTGTGTGTGTGTGTTTCATCTGTGTGTGTTTCTCTGTTTGTGTGTGTGTTTCTCTGTGTGTGTGTGTGTTTCTTTGTGTCTGTGTGTGTGTGTTTCTTTGTATCTGTGTGTGTGTGTTTCTTTGTGTGTGTGTGTGTTTGTTTCTGTGTGTGTGTGTGTGTGTGTGTTTCTTTGTGTCTGTGTGTGTGTGTTTCTTTGTATCTGTGTGTGTGTGTTTCTTTGTGTGTGTGTTTCTTTGTGTCTGTGTGCGTGTGTTTCTTTGTGTGTGTGCGTGGCAGAAACTTGACACTGTGTTATTGTGTGACAGACAGCTGCTGCCAGGCGCCACCAAAATATATTTCAACACTCAAAGAAAAATCTTTACCATCTCACGTTTAAAATCACAAAGTCAGGAAACTACTTCAGGTTTATTTATATGTGTTTTGAGAGAAAGTGGAGAGGCTCCTGATCTCAGAGAGGATCTGACAGGAGAGGAAATCTCATCTCATTATCGACTCAGCCCTCACTCTTCTTTTTTGAGCATTTGACGTAACAGCTGATCTCTGCACAGTAAACAAGGCTCTGCAGATTAGCTTAAGAGACAAAGGGCCCACAGCCACACTGTGGCTAGTCATTTTGAGTCACTTTGCCCTCGTGTTGAACGTTTTGGTAAAAAAATGTGTCTTTTTCTAGATGTTTTTTTTGAGTGTTGGGTTTGTGTGTTTTTATGGTAATTGTATGACCCTTAATAGTCCTATTTTGTCTCTTTCTGGTAATTTTTCGTCTCTTTTTGGTATTTTATATCGCTTTGTAGTAATTTAACGTCATTTGTGATGAGTTTGTCTATTTTGTTGTTGTTTTGCTGTCATTTAAATCATTTTGAATGCATTTGGAGTCTCTTTTAGGTTCGTATGTGTCTTTTTTAGTGACATTTTGAAGGTCAAGGCCAGAGGGTCCCGACATTTCTTTATCCATCCACGATGAAGATGAATAACATCACAGTTCATCCTGTTAATCAGATGTTAAATGTTTATTCAATAAATACATGAGGTTACTCCCTATGAAATACTACAAGGATAATATAAAGTACATTTGCAGTTTACAATATAAGTGCAAAAGCAGTTTTAGAAAAAGTGAAAACACTGTTATGCATTGCCATTGAAGATTTGTTCATTTGTAAAGAGATAAATGTATAAATTGCACCAAAACATAAATACTGAGATAAAATTCCTAAAACATCCCACACAGTTCCACCATCCTGAGAAAAACAGGTTGACTTTTGGATATTATATTTAAATTTCCTTCCCGCTCTCAGTTTCCCAGAAGTTTCCGTGTTTCTCATTCAGTCAGCGGCGACGCTCGATGGCGGGGAGAATCTCTGTCTCTGCAGTTTGTTCTGACTCAACGTTTGTTTCTGAGACGAGCGGGACGGACGAGCGAAGCAGAAAGTCAACGAGCCGCCGGAGCTGCAGTCGTAGTTTCCCTCCTGGTCAGAAAGAAATATATTAAACAGATGTTTTCATAAAGTGTTGCTGTTCACAAACATTGTCCCCAATGCTAAGCTAAAGGTGGCTAATGTTGGGCTATA